AGTTCAACCCCAGTACTGCAAAATAAAATAGCAGGCTCTCGAAAGAATTGAATTTATTGGGGAATTTCCAGGAGGTTGCACTCTGGGGTATGCATGCTGTGAAAGATCATAGGCAAATCTAGGGAAATTAAGACCAGAGGAAACTTTTAAATGCAAAAAGAAATAACATGTATGCTGCTGTGAAACAAAAGTTCATTAATTACAGGGCTTATTACAGCCAGTGACATATGTACTGGCTGTTGCTAGGAGCTAGTCTTCATAGAAGTGACTGATCATAAGGTTGTGATTTAGTTCAGATACTTACAAGGTTGCAGTTAAGATTATTACTGGAAATACGTGTCTTCATAAAATGAGCTTGACTGAAAAGTTATGGTTTTGTCAAGTTTTTGTGGTAGTTCTCAGTGTCCAGCAAACATGCATGAGACCTACCCATCTTGGCTTCCCATCTCCATCTTATGAGAAATTTGAGGTAAGTGACTTGATTTTGATTCCAACAACTTTCCCAAGTTAACCCCAAATTATAAATTTTTCCCAGTTTTTTTTATTGTGGTAAAATATACTTACATAAAATTTGTTATCTCGATCATTTCTAAGTCCAGTATCTCAATCATTTTATAGTCCCAGTGCATATTAAGTACATTCATGTTGTTGAACAACCATCACAACCATCCATCCTTCTGTCGTTTTCATCTTAAAAAACTGTACCCATTAAACAGTGATCTCCTCCATTTCCCCTTCCCCCCACTACTAGCCTCCATTATTCTAATTTGTGTCTCTATAAGTACTCTAGATATCTCATGGATGGAATCATTTGGTATTTGTCTTTTTGAGATAATATTCTCAAGGTTTATCCATATTGAAGGTTGTGCCAGAATCTCCTTTTTAAACTGAATACTATTCCATTGTGCACAGATGAGTACATGTATATAAAACATTTTGTGTATCCTTTCATCTGTTGATGGACACAGGATTCAGATTTATTATTTTGATAAAAACTTTTATAGTTGCATCTTCACATTTATAACGTTATTTGATAGTTATGATGTACCTGTTGATTTGATTTCTACTTCCAGACTCAGTGAACTATGGCTTGTTGGCCAACCTGCCTATTTTTCTATGGCCAGTGAGCTTAGAATAGTGTGTTCAGATGAGCACTTAACACTCTACTTCATGAGAGAGGCAATGACTTTGAACCCCAACTAAGCACACTCCCACCTCCCAAATTCATTGTCCTCATCAAAAGATCTGGATTATTTTTAAATGCACTTAATTATTACATTTTTAATTTCCTCAATATAAAAACAATGAAAATTAGTTTTCTTTCTTGTAAACTAAGTACCTATGTAACACACTTAACTTTGCTTTTTAGATCATAGAAGAAAGGAGCAAATCTGTCTGTCATTATTTGTTGTAAAGAGTCTGTTAATGCCATGTAGGCCATGAAAATACAGGCTTACATGTTAAATAGCGTAAACACTGTGGCCATTATAGTAGGCCTGGTATTAAATTTTCAAAGCACTGGTTAAGTGCTTTACATAGAGTAGCTCATTTCATTCCAACACCAATTTTACCACATAAACATTCTCATATTCCCTATTTTACAGTGAGTTACGGAAAGGTTTAGTAACTTGTTCAGTCATATAAGAATCGACCCAGTTTGGCCCTATAGTTCATGTTTCAAATACATCTCTTTCAAATTTACATACTCTAAGTAAATATAAAGCAATTAGGTTTGAACATTTAAAAGAACCTACAGAATCAATAAAGCAAAAAAGCCTAACAACTAGAATAAAATACTTGTCATAGTAATAAATTTAAAAAGATAAAGTGTGGGGGTATGTACATATATCTTTGAGTTTGAAAGAGCTTTGCAGATACCTACTTATAAGTAAGCAGAGGGAGCCAGACTCCTTGAAGAATAATTAGTAGTCTTTTTTTTTCTGCTTAAAATGTGTACATGTATAATGGATAGGACAAGAACTCACAGGTATAAAATATTGACAATGCTTACCTTTTCGGAGGAACAGCTTAGTGGAAGTGATGAAAAGAGGCTTTTTTGCCATTGCTCTGTATATTTTTAGATGAATTTTGTCAAGAATGTGTCACATTACTTTCACAGCTATTTTTTTCAAAGCTTATGTGGGTAAATAAATAACATCAGTAAGAAAAATATCAGGTAAAATCAAATACAATCAGCACTAAATACCCTGAAAAGTAGAATTAGATGCAATTGGAAGGAGATTATTTCCCCCTTTTTACCACATATTCTTCTGTATAAATTTTACTTCTGTAAAAATTTTACAATGAACACTTAAATTAAAAAACAAGGAGATTGGAGTAGAGTGCTTGTCTGCCATGTGCAAAGACCCTGAGTTCAGCCCCTAGATCTGCCAAAAAAAAAAAAAGAAGGGCATATATGATCATTTTCTCATGCCTTTCTCTTATGTTGATTACTCTTCCTGTGCCTTACCCAGTGATCAACATCATTTTTAACAAGTTTTGTTGGAACTTTGTCCATGAGTAGACTTAGGTGCATAATTTTAATGAGATTTGCAATTTAAAGATGAGAGTTCTCTTCCTTGTCATGTAGTTCTTAGCTTAAATATTGTCTTTTGGTACCTATTTGAGAATTTTTCTCACTACCAAAAGAGCCCTGTAGAGTATATCGTATTGTCTTATTTTCATCATAGTGTCATCATAATTTATTCCTACTTATTTAGTTTGTTTGTTTTTAAAGTTTTCCTGAACTAGTAAACGGTAGAAATGTGTCTTTCATCCTTTGTAGCACAGGGCCTAAAATCATTGGGATGTAGTAAGCACTTAATAAATGTTTCTTGGGTAAAAAGGATAACACTCTTTCTTCAAAGTTCATAAACTTACATTTTTATTAAGCTTGGAGGATGGTTCATGTCTTGAACTGGACTTCGTCCTTCTCCTCTCTAGGGGGAGTTAGCGATGTCCTGAACCTGGCCAATTGGGATTGGGATTGGGATTGGGATTGGTATATGGCCCAAGGCAGACTTAGGGTAGAAGTAACGAAGCTTCAAAGACTACTCAGACACTCAGGTCAGTGCAGCAACATTTATTCACACTTCAAATGTACACTTACAAGGTCCAAGAGGGAGTCACAGCACACAGTAGGTCACCTTGCAGGGCACCATAGGCAAGGTTTGTGGGGTGGAGCTCCACCAAGCAGTCAGTTCTTTCGGGGTGAGACTTGGCAGGCAGAGCCAGCCAAGCTGTCCCCGCCCAGGAACCCCGCCCAGCTGTCCTTGGTCAGCTCATTCGGGCTAAGAGTGCAGGGTGCTCAATCTGCTTGGAAGGGAAAGCTGTCACAAGGCAAGACCTCTCTTACTCGGGGACAGAGTCCTTCTGGCAAGGCGAGCTCATGCAAGAGGGAGTCCCTTGATCCTAGTGTACTTGCTCCTGAGCGTGGGAGGACATTGGAGAGTGGCACTCTGCTGTGCCCTCTGTAGGTGTCCTTTAGATATGATTTTCTCTAGGGTGTTCCCCCTCTGATGTCACCTAGTCCTCTGCTGCTTGGTTACACCCAAAAGTGGGGGCCCCAGGACACTGCTGTAGATGTCATCACATCTTAGCATAAGCATAGCCATATTAGACACCAATTGGTTGCATGCCTTATCAGTCCTGTCCATATAAATGGTGTCCTGATGTTGGCAACAGCTGTTTATAGTCCAGAGGTCTGGTAGCTCACTGATTCTAAACTGCAATACACCCAAAATGCAGACAAACTTTGCAGCTTGTTAAGTGAGGCTTTATGTTCTCTACAGTTCAGCTATGGTGGGTCGATAATAATTCATAGGAATCAAGTAATCAGTTTGTTTATGATGGTAGATCTGAATGATGTAAACAAAGTTGTATACACTTTACCATTTTTCCCTAACATTATCATGCCAAAACCAAATTTTTTACCAAGCTTAATTTTGTAGTACATGAAAATGGAGAAAAAGAGAAATAGTCAGTATTAAGAAACACTGGATAGAGCTGGGAACATGGCTTCAGTGGTAGAGTGCCTGCCTAGCAAGTATGAGGCCCTGAGTTCAAACCCAGTATCACCAAAAAAAAAAAAGAAAGAAAGAAAGAAACTGGATATGGGTTATATTGTCTAACAAATACATTAGCTAGCAAATGTTTGTTCTTGGTAATAAAAATTGTGTGGCAGATTGAATGACTTCTTTTGCTGGCCCAGTCCTAAAAACAACTTAGTGGGCCTGTCCAGTTGAGGGTAGGTTATATTGTACATCTGTGCAAGAAAGAAAGACATTAAGTTGAACTTGTAGTTTGTTAAAAAGCAAAAATATAAGACAAAAGACTGGTTCCAAAAAAATGTTTTGAAGTGAATAAAGTTCACTATTGGAAATGCAAATTTCCATTTTATTTTCATCTAAGTAGAATAAAACCTGAATCATGTTTTGCTCACAAATCAAAACTACACCTTTCAATTTGAAAAGATTAAGGTGGATATTTAAAAATCTTCAGAAATACTTGAGAGATGGTTTACAAATGGTAGCACTGATTATTACTCCTTGTTAACAGTTGTACAATAAAGAGGCAGTGTGTTTAACAAATCTCGAGCTTTGTGCTCAGAATTGAAGTTCTGTTTCCTACTAGCTGGGTAGATGACTTGTAGTTTCCCTTCCTCACTTTGCTCCTCTGTTTAACTGTCATACTAGATGCTTTGTCAGAGTTGTTGGGAGAGCTTGTTAAATGAGATTGTGTGTTTACATTTGTGCTATGTTGTTTAAAACGGTGCCTGGTTGGTAATACAGCACTACAGTAAGCATTTTCCCTTACTTTGCCCTAGAGGAATGCAAGTTTAGCCGGCTTGGGGCTCTTCATTTTGTTTCATCCCAGTTCCTCAAAGAATAAAATCAGGGATTTACTCTCAATCTTTAATTTACCTGATATTCAAAGAGATGGTTAGAGAGTTAACCTGATGTCTAGATAAAAAAGTAAAATATTTACAATTTTACTTTTAGATGGTGTTTGCTACTAATGGGTATAAGCAAGTTAGATGTCCTGTACAGGAGACTTCTCCTCACAAAACTTTTCATCAGAGGATGGGGAAGACCAGAGGACCTCAAAAGGTAATGTTTTCCCCTTGTTTTGAATTTGTTGTTTTTGTAAACATATAAAATTTTATCTCAGTTGTAAAATCCTTTGCCCTCAAATATAGAGTGCTTTTTTCAGGAAATTGACTGTATAAAAAGTGTAATTATTTGTTTTACCTTTTTAGTTATTTCTGAGTTTAGCTCATAATATCTTAAATTGAAGTATTTTAAAAAACTGTTAATATTTTTAAATAGAGAGCTCTCAGACAGCAGCTGGAGTTATGCCTCAAGTGGTAAAGCACCTGCCTAGCAAGCACAAAGGACTGAGTTCAGCCAGCACTGGCTTATGCCTATGATCCTAGCTACTCAGGAGGCAGAGATCAGGAGGATTGTGATTCAAAGCCAGCCCAGGCAAATAGTTCAGACCCTATCTTGAAAAAACCATCACACAAAAAGCCTGGTGGAGTGGCTAAAGTGATAGGTCCTGAGTTCAAGCCTCAATACTACAAAAAAAAGAAAGAAAGAAATTTTCAGGATTGGTCCCTTCTTTAATTTTGATTCTTATATGTGCTAATTGATTTTTGAACAATTTTATTTCTCATATTTTTCTGAAGTAAGTGTCTAGTTTGTAATTATTCTTTTCATTAGTGATAAAAATAAAATTTTCCTATGACTTATAAACTGAATTTGCTCAATTTTTGATCACTACTCGTCATCTCAATAAAGGCAGTATAAAAGGTGACTATTTTTCTTTTTGTCTTCTTTCCTGTAATAGACTCTTTGAATTCAGAAAGATGATCGGAAATCGAGAAAAATGCCAGAATCTGGTTTCCAGCGATTATCCAGTGTACATTGATAAGGTATTCAAATTAAGGAAATGCATATGTAGAAATTCTAGTTCAACATGAGTATGTGCCAAGAGTAGATTGAATGTACAATAACATCCCGTAAAACATGAGTGCAGTGGTTTTTTCAATTAATATTTTTAAAAAATGCTGTTCGTGGACTGGAACATGACTCAAGTAGTAGAGTCCCTATTTACCAAGCACAAAGCCTAGAGTTCAAATGCTAGTACCACACCCCTTCTCCCCCAAAAAATGCTATTTGTACCCTAACTAGATGTTTTTAATAACTGTATTTATAGCTGAGCACTGGTGGCTCACACCTGTAATTCTAGCTAGTCAGGAGGCAATATAGGAGGCAATAGTTTGCGAGACCCTATTTTGAAATTCCCCAGTACAAAAAAGAGCTGATGGAGTGGCTCAGGGTGTAGGCCCTGAGTTCAAGCCCCGGCTACAAAAAAAAAAAAAAAAAAAACCACTATATGCATTTGGGAGCGTATATTTAGTCCCGTGCCTGAATACAAAGAAGTATTTAGGCTAGATCTTTCTGAGTCTCATTTTGTATCTTTAGGCTGGAGAGGGTTACAGTAACTTCTTCAGCATTAAGGAAGAACATTAAGAAGAGCAGTAGGTACTAAAGGGGGAGTGATCTGGTTGGATAATAAGCACATAAGAATTATTTTCAAAACAACTGTTTATATAGTTAATTGTCGAGAATGGTATAAAGAAAATTAGAGAAGATGAGAATATTCTTGAAACTGTTTTGTTTTTTAAGTGTTATGTACCATCTTTCTAGTGTTATCTAATTGGATACTTTGAGATATAGTTGGAGATAGGTAGGCTTCACACATCTCTCCCGACCTTTAACCAAGGTAACTCTATTTGCATCTTTTATATATCACATATACTTAGAACATTTTCTTTTTCAAAACATTTCCTACTGAAAACAGTATTTTATTTTCTATTTTCTCTGGTTTTTCCTTATTAAAACTTGTAGGCTTTAAGCAGGTGCAGGTGGCTCATGCTTGTAACCCTACCCACTTGGGAGGCTGAGAGTGGGAGGATCATGGTTCGAGGCCAGCTTAGGCAAATAGTTCGCAAGACCTGCATCTCCAATAACCAGAGCAAAATGGACTGGAGATGTGGCTGAAATGCTAGAGTGCCTGCTTTGCAAGTACAAAGCCCTGAGTTCAAGCCAAAGTTCCACAAAAAGAAAAAGAAATTACAGGCTTTAAAAGTAAACAAGTTTAAAGCATTAAAGAAACAAGTTTAAAGTCCCTTTAATGTCTGCCTCTCTCCACTATCTAATGCCATCTCTGCCAGGGGCTCTGTGAAGACCTTGACACACATCCCCTTAGTTTATAAAGATTGAGATGTAATTCACATACTGAGATTCATCCTTTTAGAGCACACAATTAGAGGCAGCAGTGTTGGAGGGAAAAAAACTAGTAAATAAATAAAAAATAAAATGTACAATTAAGTATTCTTTAAATCTGTTTACAAAGAGTGATCTAACAAATGTACAGTGTGAGTCCATTCTGAATTGTCACCATGAATCCCCCTGTACAACAAATATATCTTAAAAATGAAAAAAAATTACAGAGTGTACAACTATCAGTTGCCAGAACATTTCATTGCCCCCAAAAGAAACGCTGTCCCATTGTCTCTGTCCCCCACCTGCTGACAACCACTAATCTCTTTCTTTCTCTATGGTTTTCCTATTTAGGACATTTCTCATAGAAGAAATATTACCATATGTGGTCTTTGGTATTATTTTATTCTTTTCTATGGCTAAATAATATTCCAGTGTGTGATGTACCACATTTTGTTTATCCATTCAAAAATTGATTCATAAATTCACATTTGGGTTGTTCCGTTTTGGTCTATTACGAATAATGCAGCTGTGAGCTTTCATTTACAAGTTTTTATGTGAACATCCCACACAGCCTGCATACAAAACAGTTCCGTTTTGTGTATGCTCTATACACTACACAAAAGACTTTCATTCATATGTAATCACGTGTGGTTCTAAAATTATTTTTTTCCTTTTGCCAGCTGTCCTAATACTATTTATTGAATTATTTCCTTTCTCATTAATTTCATTAATTGGTTCTACCTCCTTTATTAAATGACTAATTCATTAGTTTGTGCTGCCTTTTTTTTTTTTTTTTTTTTCTGGTAACTCAGGGCTTCATGCTTACTAGGCAGGTGCTCTACCAGTTGAGCCACTTTGCCAGTCCCTTTTTTGTGATAGGTTTTTCAAGAAAGGGTCTTGAACTGTTTGCCTGGGCCGGCTTTACTTCAAACAAAGATTCTCCTGATCTCTGCCACCTGAGCAGCTCGGATTGCAGCTGTGAGACACTGGCACCCAGCTCTGCTGCTTTAATTTTGACTACTGACCTAATAGAGGCTTAAAAAAAAAAAAAAAAAAACTACTGAAGGGGAAAATAAGTTTTGGTACTGAATGTTAACAAATTGACTTGATTTTCATTTTTTTAGTGTTTTGTTTGTATGTATTTGGTTTTGTTTTTGCTTTTCTGAGACAAAGTCACTATGTAACCTAGTCGGGCCTGGAATTTGTGATCCTCTTACCCCAACCTCCAATGCCTGGGATTACAGGTATGCACCACACACCCAGTACAAATTCCCTTTTCTCTGTGTAGAAATCACATTTTCCTTATTTAATATGCTAACAATAAGTACCCTGATATTAAACCAATGTAATATATTTGATGTCTACTCTTGAGTGTGATAAATTATTGCAATTTATAACTTGTTCTTATGACTATTTTTATATTACTAAATGCTATTGAACTCTCTGTACTAGTATTTTATTTTCAGCTATTTTCTGTCAATGTATGAATTTGATTTATTATTTATTTTCCCAACAAGACTGTAATAGAGGGTGTAGAAGGAAAATAGTGTGTGTAGGTAGGATGTCTTTAAAAAGCATCAGTGGGCCTAAAAGGAAACATCGTAAACAATAGAGACAGTTCTGGGGCTGGGGGTGTAGCTGGATGGTTGAGTGCTTGCCTACCATGTGCAGGGACATAGGTTCAATCCCAATGCTGCCCCCCAAAAGTGATTTTAGTTGGATGTTTTTGCTAGAAAAACATCCATGCCAAACCAAGTTATCTTAGTCTACTTGCATACATTCAGGTTTCCTTTCCTTGTAGATTGAAGAGCAGTCAGACTGTAAGATCCTGGATGGACACTTTGTCTCTCCAATGGCTCACTGTGTGCCTGGCATCATGCCAGTTGAATCGGTTATTGCAAGGTAAGAACACGTTTCAGAAAGCTAAATTAGTAAGTTATTTATGTTCATTAAAATTATAATAATATTAACACAATCTAATGTAAATCACCCAGTAAGTTACTACAGTCTAAATTACTTTAAAAGCTGAATTTAGAAGCTATTTTAGTTCTCGTAAGAATGCAGAGTTAGTATATGTACAAGGATGTGTTGTTGAAGCATTTCTACAGTTGCAAAAAATGAGTACTGCACTAAATGTCCAAAATAGGAGGCCCTACCCATTTTTTTTGTGACTGTGTCATGGACACTGCTACTAACAGGGAATGTCACAGTGCATGAGAGCTTCCAAAGGCAATCCGGTGATGTTCAGGTCCACTTCATAAACACACGAACATGCACACGGTATCTCAGGGAAGTTGCCAAGTAGACAGTTTGGCTTTTAAAATTTCAGTTTTAAATTTCTGCAGTGTACATGCACTTCCTGTAATAGAACACAAAGGCAATTTTTAATTGAAGAAATTAGAGAACGTAGTAATTTAGATTACATAGACTGTAATTTTGCTTAGTAAAGCTCCTCAGGATAGTTTGTGATTAGCATTTCACCTTGTGACTGTCAATAGATATTCTGAAATACCTCTTCATACAATAGAACTTCACTTTTGGGTTTTCTATGTGCCATTAATTTGCTTGGTTGAAACTTTCCTACAGATAGTTCAGAGACCAGTTTTAGTTCAGTCTTGTAAATAGATTTTAATTTGTTTTAAATTCTAAATCGTACACAAACCAGGTCTTCTCCCGGTTTTTCATGCTTTATCTACTTCTGTTTAGTTCAAAGAACGAGATCCTTTATATTCTTCCTCTGCACTGTTAGTAATAAGTCATTTGCTGCTTTCAACAATTGGTTTCTGCTTTAAGAATTGTGTTTGCAATAGCAGGGATTGTGTGTGTATGTGTGAAGATACTTCAGTAAAAAAGGATTTATTCTGTAATGGAATAATAAGCTTCTATGTAACTTATGTAGCTGCACTGGAACCCTAAAAAAATTCCAACTTACTCCAGTAAACTTCATTGTCCTTAAGGTGTTATTTTAAATTAATATTTTTTAATAACTTCAAAATAAAATGCAAGCAGTATCATGTAGTATAAAGAACCAGAACTTTGGAATTAAATAGAAATCAGATTGAACCCTGGCTCCACTACTTACTGATCTAATGACCTTTGGTCAATTACTTAATCTCAGAACCATGTGTTATGAAGTAGAAATAAGACAAATGTTTGTTAAAAGGAGCAAATGAGGAATAGAAATAGTATACAAAGAATACAAAAAGCATTAAGTCTATGTGTAACTCTTTAGCTAAATGATGTAGTAGGAAAGAAACTGTAGATTTCCGTATACCACCAGTTCACTCCCTGAAAACATATCCTGTCCTGTAGATTCTCACTCAACCTCATCTGGAAAATTCTGTAGATAGGAACATAAAGAAAGGGAAAGAGCTAAGTTGTAGCTCAATAGTTCAGCACATGCTTAGCGTGCTTGAGGCCTGAGTTCAGTCCCCAGCACAACAAAAAAGAGGAAATTGTGTTCTTTAATTCAGTCTAAGAAACAGTCTTAACATTTGTTTGGAGTAAAGGAAGAGTTCTTTCCAGTTAATGACAAGAATGGGGAAGCAGGTAGAGTGGCTTAAGTATTGCAGCCCTGCCTAGCAAGTACAAGGCACTGGGTTCAAACCCTAGAACTGCAAAATAAACAAGAATGGGAAGCAAGTGACATAGTGTATCTGAAGTGGCATTTTTTAAATATTTTTATTTATTAGTGTATTATAGTTATACCAAGGGTACATTGTGACATTGACAAAAGTGCTTAGAGTATATCATAGTTGAACTCACCCCTCCACCATTTTCCTTTATCCTACATTCTCCTTTATCCTGTTCTCCCTCCATTCTTAGAATAGTTTCAACAGGTCTCATTTTTCCATTTTCATACATTAATACATAATATTTCCATGATAGTCACCCCCCTTCACCCTTCCTTATAACTTCCCCCTCCCAGGACAGGACTGTTTTACCTTTCTGTCCTTCATTTTTTAAAAAAAGACATTTTTTGTTTATGATAGTTATACAGGAGGTTTCACTGTAACATTTCTATACATATATATGTATTATACCTGAATTGGTTCATCCCCTCCATTATTCTCCTTTCTACCTTAGTCCTATACTTATAGTGATTTCAGCAGGTTTGAATGTTTCATACTTGTATTTAAGAAGTACATCAAATTCACCTTCTTTACCATCTTTCGTTTATCCTCCCCCCTCCCATTAGTGCCATCCTTAAGTGACCTGGTTTGCATTCTTGTCCTTCATTGTAAATCCTTTTTCTAATCTTTCTGAGATAGCCCAGTAATTTATTTTGACAAATATAAGTTGTCAAGGGCCAGCCGTCGCTGGTGGCTCATGCCTGTAATCCCAGCTACTCAGGAGGATGGAGGTTCAAAGCCAGCCCGGGCAAATAGCTTGGGAGACCCTATCTCGAAAAAAACCCATCACAAAAAGGGATGGTGGAGTGGCTCAAGGTGCAGGCCCTGAATTCAAAGCCCAATACTGCTTTGAATACACTTGATATCTATTTTTCCTTTCCTCCCCTATGATTTTTGGGAAGTAATTTATGCCGTTGCATTAAAATATTACAAAATACAAATAAAAAGAAAAATATTGGTAATTCTGACAAGACAGGATAGCTGCTCTTTATGTATATTTTTCTAGTCTTTCTTCCTATGTGTTCACATACAAAAATGCTATTCTCTCTCTTCTTTTTGACTGACCCGGTCAGTGAATGGACAGTCTGCTTGGTGTCCATCATCATTTTCTAGTTCCCTGTGGTCAACATTTAAATTGCATGGTTTTCTTCTGCTTAAGCAGAGGAGCTTGTATATAGCTCTTTTCCTACTTACGTGACTATTTTCACCCCATAAACTGCTAAATGTGGAGTTCTGGATTTATAAGTTCTGCAAAGATTTTTAACTTTTGATCATATTGTCACAGAGGTAGGAAAGAATTAATAAATGCTATACTAAGTTTATATGAATTCTCCAGAAGAAACCCTTTTTTGTCCTCTTGTCATTTGGTTAGTAATGAGTCTGTGTCTTTTTTCTGAGTTTCTTCTTTTATTGAGACAGAGGAAAAATCCATCAGGCAAATGAAGTGAAGGGACCCAAACTTTTTTTTCTTTACTCAAATGTCATAAAATTGTGTAAGGTCTATTTGAGCATCACAACGTAGACCACAGAAAATTGTGTAAGTTCCATTTGAGTGGCAGAGTATAGACCCCAGCCTGTGTATTTCCCAGTAATGTGAAATACTGATGAGTTGTCATGTGTCTTATTCTGATGTCTCATGTTGGAAATGTAGGTGTGTCAAAATTCCACCTGAAATAATATTTTTAAACATAGCATTAGTTTGAGCAACTATAGATAATTTAGTATTCAAATTTCATTTAAAGACTGAATCCAATATTAAAGCAACTTTAGCACTTGTCTTCTGGTGAGATGTTAAGTAGACTCCTGCAAGGATAGTTCATGTGTGGTTTTTGGGAATTTCCATTTATTTTTAAATGATTAGAGTTAGGTTTTTCAACAATATAAGAATCAGGCACTCACTTTAAATTACTTGCAAATAAAATTCTCCTGAGTTTTACAAATTTTTATTATTCACAAATACATGTGTATTGGTTTGTGTATGTATGCAAGTATATGCACATATAATAAAAACAGCTATCCTTGTTTTCAGCATTAAGTTGTTCTCAAGGGTGTTACTTTTCACTTACTTTGCTAGTCTTTCTTGAAACCTGACTGCAGAGTAGACAGTGCACCTGCATAGGTGTGTGGCTGTGTGCACATGTTAAGTTGATGCAATTCAGAGGACTCCAGGGAAAAGTCAAACTGCTCTAGAAGTCAGAATGCTGAATGTCCAGGTCAGCGACCTTTGCAACTTGTGAGGTTGGATACTGCTAACCTGTGAAATTCCCACATTTCCTGCTGGGAATCTTTGCAGGTGGCTTTAATTCTCTTAAAGATGCTTTCAGCCAGGGGATTTGTTTTTCTTAGCTTGCTACAGGGCATTGCTTGGCAGAATGGGAATTCTCAGGTCCTTGGGATGGGAAATGGTTCTTATGTCTTATAATAATCTTTACTGTCTCATTCAGATATGTGTAGCATTCTTTTATTTTTATTATGCTAACTGTCATCATCTCTTGTTGGAGAACTTGTTTGTTTGTTTGTTTGTTTGTTTTGGCATTACTGGAGTTTGAACTCAGGCTCTCGTGCCTGCTAGACAATCTTAACCCTTGAGCCACGTCCTCAACTGGAGCACTGGTTCTTAAAGAGGAAGACAGGATTTTAAGAATCAAGGAAGCTACTGGGAGAACTTTTGGGATGTCAGCTCAGCTATCTGCTGGTGTAGTGGCATGAACATTAAAGAGAGAAAGGACAGGCCCAATCTAGGGGCATTTGGGGGAGGGACACACCATTTTGATTTGTTCAGTGGAGTCTGGTGATATTTTATCAGAAGTAGATTTGGGTTGGACTATTCCTTTCTATAAAGGATACATCTTGGCTAGAGGGAATAGAACTGAATTGCTAATTATTATACTTGTTATTCTACAGCAAGAATGCCACTTTAATAAAATTTGAGAATTTTTTTAAAAACACTTTTATTCTACATTTCAAATTATACCAAAGAAATAAATACTATTTAAAGTAAGAAAGTATAGCTTTGCTGAGATTTCACTCAGTGGTAGAGCACTTGCCTACCATGGCTGAAGCTATGGGTTCAATCCTCATCACTGCAGAAATAATAATAATAATAATAATAATTTTAAAATAGCCAACTGTCAGAACTTTCTCTCACTTTTTAAAGAATAGTGGTTTACCATAGAGTGGAAAGAACACTATTTCTAAATTAATAGATATGATTTTAAACAGTATTATATGTTAAGATTTAAAACTATAAAATTGCTTTATTTTTTTGGC